CGCCGGCTCTGCTTCTGCCACCGACCGCCGGCTCTGCTTCTGCCACCGACCGCCGGCTCTGCTTCTGCCACCGACCGCCGGCTCTGCTTCTGCCATTTCCTTGCCGCCCATCAGCTCTTGGGGCTTTTAGGAAGAAGTGTGGCTGTTCGGGTCAGATTGCTTTAGCTGGCCTCAGCAGGGTTGGTGTGGGGTCACCACCACCTCCATGCAGTGCACCATGTGACCTCAGCAGAAGGAAGATGCTCCCCCCATTCACCCAACGTCCACAACTCAGTGGTTTTGGGCAGGCCCAGAGTTACACGACATCACTGCGATCACTTTCATCACCCTGTACCCAGAGAAGACCCGAACCCACTCCAGCCTCTCCCCACGCCCTGCAGTGGCTGCTCCGCCAGGCTCTGTGGCTCTGCCTGGTCTGGACGTGTCATGGAAATGGTCATGGAAATGGATCTGGGCATGCCACGGCCTTTCGTGCCTGCCCTCTCCCCTCAGCATCGTCTCCACAAGGTGCACCCACGCAGTAGCACGTGGCGCTGCCTCCTTCCTGCGCTGAACCCCACTCACTGCGCCCACTGCCTGGAGACCGCACCGCTGCATCCACCCTCAGTGGACATAGGGTGGCCTCTACTTTCTGGCCATTGTGAATCGTGCTGCTGTGAACACCTGTGAACCCGCTTCTGTGTTCGTTCCTCTTGGGCAGGTGCTCAGGGCGCAGCTGCAGATCCGGTGGTCTCGGTCTCGCCTTTCAAGGGGGGCCACCTGTTCCTGCAGCGGCTGCTTTCTGGTCCCTTTGGGGCCCCCTAGGTGCTGTGCTGGACTTAGTTCCATGGGCTGTAGCGGGCAAAGCTTGAGAACAGCCCCTCGGTGGGTGTCAGCTCCGCGTGGGAGCGGGACACGCGTGAGGCCCTGGGCCCCACCTGTGGACTCAGTGTCTCTTTCACGGACTGTGGGGAAGGCGGTGGGAGCAGCAGGGTGGATGGTGAAAGGACACAGTGCCCACCCCCCGAGGGTCCGAGGGTAGAGCTGGAACGGGGTCACAGTCACCCCAGAGCCGCCCCAGCCCCTCCTGGCCTGTCCCCAGCTGAACCAGCACCGCTCGGGCAGTTGCTGCCATTGGGGTGTGGCTCTGGGGCCCAGCACCAGGTCC